TATTCTTAGGCTGTTATTAGGTTATAGCTTTCATATAAAAGGTATAAATTAGTTTCATAATAGGGTTGTGTACATTGGATACTTTTTCCTCCATTCTTGTGATACTTTGCTATGAAGAACATTTTCCAGCTCTACCTTCTTTTAAAAGCACATTTGGGCTTTAATTTACAAAGTAAGCTGAGAAAAGCATATCTCTGAAACAACAGCAGAATTATACACCACTTGGTAATCAGTTTGTTTATTTAAGACGACTTGCTCTGTTGCCTAGGCTGGAGCTTGGTGGTACAATCGTAGCTCACTGAAACCTCAAACTCCTGGCCTCCAGCAATCCTCCTGCCTTGGCCTTCCAAAGCACTGGGATTACAGGCACGAGTTACCGCACCTGGCCTAGGTAGTTTATTATCTCATGAAGAGACTGTGCCACAATTTCCATTCCTCCACTCTCAGAGTTGTTCATTTATGACCTCATGTTGGAGAAGGAAGACTTGACACTCACTAAAAGGCCTTCTGTCTGAATTGTCTTCACTCGGCTGCCCATCTCACCTTGGATTCCCAGTTCTGTTGGCTTTGTGCATTAAAAAAAAAAATTTTTTTTAACTGAATCCCTGTCCATGTGACAAAAACGAAGGAACACAGGGTTTGGAGTCAGACAGACCTAGATGTGCTCAGCCACTGAAAAGACATCATTTACTACCTGCTCATGGTTTCATATGCATTGTATCTCATAATGAAAAGAATTCAATTTTATTTAAACTGCTTCCTTCCAAAATTAATCAAGGCAGCTGGCAAAGAGTCATAGAATACCAGACAAGATGACCTAAAAAATTAATCTGCAGTTAGGGGGAAGAAAAGGACAAAAGAAAAATAATGGAGGCTGGAAAAATTGATTGAGCCTAGGAGTTTGAAGTTGCTGTGAGCTATGACACCACAGCAGTCTAGCCTGGGGGAACAGAGTGAGACTCCATCTCAAAAAAGAAAAAGAAAAAAATTATGGAAAGGAAAATATAGTAAGACAAAACCAAGAGTGAGACTAGGACAAACACATTGAGGTATAAGGGCTTGGCCATTTGCTATAGAAGGGACAAGGATTGTGTGCTAGAGCTTTCTAAGGGGCACAATCAGTCCCACAAGGCAGTGTCCACAGATAAAACAGACCAGCTCTCCAGGAGAACTGACAGGCAAGGGGCTGGGGCCAGGAGTGTTAGAAAATATGGGGGCTCATTCCAAAAGCATTGGGGGGGGGGCAGGGAGACTATCTGGGGATAGGGCTGAAGTTTCTAAAAACAAGATCTGGGATATAGTCTTGCACAAACAGGCAACTGAAGACCCAGAGTCCTGTGCCACTGGGCGTGGCCACGATAACTTCAACTTGGAAAATATTTTAAGCATGTGTCACCAAACACCCACTTTGGCCAGGAAAAAACTATAGCAGGAATCAGAGAACCTCTAGCTCTGAACAATGCAATGCCCTGGCAAATACAGATTTGGGTATAGAATGTGTTGACTTTTTAATAGGAAAGTCAGTAGTTAGGGACGGGCAGACAGCAGAACTCCCAGTGATTAAAGGAGAAATACCTAAGAGAGGCTGCAGGAAGTAGAGGGAAGCAGGAGTCTGGAGGTTCTGGGGTGCATGGGAATCACCCTGAGGCTTATTACAACACAGATTGCTAGGTCCCACCCCCATAGTTTCTGATGCAATGGAGTTTGGGGAGGCTTAGGTGGCTGGTTCCCAGAACACACTTTGAGAACCACAGGCAGAGCAGAACTTGGGCTAACTACACATTTGAAGGGGGAAGAAGGGGGGTGGCATGACATTTGAAAATCTCTCCAGAAGAACTTAAACAGTTGCCATCTCTGACTACAGCCAACTGGGCCTCACTGTACCTACCCTGAGCGGCCTACTCTTTCCTACAGAAAACCCTAGTGTGAATTTTGATTTGCGTATAGGCCTTCTTTCGATGAAATCATGCCAGAGTTTATTATAAAAACTTGCCCAGTTTAAGACAACATAATCATGTTGCCTGCAAATAGGAAGATGAGCACCTGTTTTTTAGAGTGTAGGTGAGAATATCAAATTTACCAAAAAGCACAGTATTAGATCATCAATTCAATCCTATGAAAATTTTTGGGGGGTAAAGTCTGCACTCCAACTGTTTGTGACATGCTGCTGGGCTTCCCTGTGAAGCAGGCTGGAGATGGTGGGGGAGTTAAGGACACATCTCTGCTGCCCTCCTTGGACACAGTGATCTGAGGCCTTTTGGGGCCCTTGCTCCAGGCCTCTCTCTCACTGTAGTACTAAAGTGGGGTTTCCCGCCACTTACAGTACTAGGGAGTCCATTTTGAATTGGTACAGTTTAATCCTAAACTGCTTCCTGTTCTCAGAACAGATCACAGGAGAAGATAAAAGGCACCGCCACATCATGCCTCCTGTTTCTGTGCAGGGTGGGAAGAACATGGTTGGCTAAGCCTACAGCCAGCCTGTTCTTTGTGTACCACTGATCTGTTCCACCAGGGTGGAAACTGAGGCT